CCTTTCCCTTCTAACCACGTAATTGGATTTATCTTTTTTCTCAAGAAATAGTATTTACCTTTCCTCTCCCAACCATGAAACAATATATGTCTTTCCCTCATTAATTAAGACACGAAATATGATTTACCATTCCCCGCATAACGACGAAATATGATTTACATTTTTTCTTACAGCTAGAATTACTTTTCCACGAAAAAGGATCTACCCCTTCCCATCAAAACTATGAAAGAGGATTTACCTCCCCATCCCCAGTTTCCCATTCCCCTCCCTGCCAAGAAATAGTATATACCCCAATTCCAACTTTCATGTACATTTGTGGATCCCTAAACTATATATATATATATATTCAATGTTTTGAATCGCCCTGAAAGAAAGCTATGTAAAGTGAGGTTTATACCATCCTCTTCTAACATAATAGAGGTACCTTGTTAGCAATAAGTCTACTATGCTGTGAGTTGTTTTTTTTTTTTTTTATTTTTGCATGTAACATAACACAGAGTTTGTCGAAATGCCAAAATTGTTTCAATCTTTAAAGTACATATGATACTCGTAGAAAATCTTAGGCACAAAATAGGACAGAAATCTCATGTAAAATTGAAAATCTAATTTGCAATTTAAAGATAAAACACATTGAAATTAGGGATGTCAATTTTGTCAATAATTCATATTCGAATATTCAGTGAAAGTATTCGAATATATTCAAATATTCGATAAAATAAATGAAATCTTGTTTAATTTAAATATGCATCATCCTACTTTCAGGAAAGGTTTATCTAAGGTATTCTTACATTGGAAGTAAAATTGTATGAAGACTTTAGTAGATGTACAGTAAGGAATTCAATTTGATATTTTTCAATGTTTGAAATAAATAAATGATTTAATGTAGAAAAGTATAATTTTAACAAATGATACATGTGTTTTTATAATAGCTCCAACTGACAAACCAGTCGTCTTACCAATGCAGGATAGTCGTTTACTGTTCAGATCTCAATACGTGTAATTGGCTATGATTATCAGCCTCAAAAGTGATATGATTATAATCTTTGATACAATGTTTTTAAAATATAAACAAACATTTCCATAGACAATTTTTCTATGTAATAAACTAATTTCTCGATAATGAATATAAAATTCAGGATCATGTACAACCCGAGATAATCATTTATACTGAAATTGAGCCCTTTAAAATATTAATTACAGACTAATTCTATCGGACATTCATTCAATAATAAATTTGATTAACTTTGATAAGTATACTCATCACGTCTTTTAGACATTCTTAAGAATGTTTTCCTTTCGTTGCTCTGATTCTAGATCCGATCGTATTTAACTAATAAAAACTACGAAAGTACGTTTTTTATTATACATAAAGCATTATTGTAAAATTCTTTAACACTTTACTCAAAACGAAGTGGTTTAGTAGATCTGTAAGATAAGAAAGTAGTGAGAGAAATTGGGCGATCGAAATTGATCGCTAGTACATTAAACAAGGCTAATTACAGCACTGTTCTAATTAAAATTTATTAATCACAGTACATCTTTTTATGAAATCTGAAAAACACCGAATATTCGAATCTTAAATTCATATTCGAATATCAACTCATCGAATGAATATTCGAATGTTCGAATATTCGTTGCCATCCCTAATTGAAATTAAAACACATTAAAACAAAGTTTAATTTTTATAGATTTACGTTAGGTGTGTGAAGTTTTGCGGATGAAATTTGGGAATGGCACAATTTTAGGATGAAAAAAATATACAGGTTTAAAAAGAAGAGTATGTAATTTTAGACAAAATAATCTTATTTTCTTGAATATTGTAAGCTAGGTTCTTCTTGAAATATTTTGGCGAAAACGAAAATCCTGAAATATTGTTCTTATAAAAATTATTAATTCACCCTTAAGACATGTATCAAAAATTGGATGGCGAATAATGATGAATGGACTATAAAAATCCAAAAACAAATTTCATAGCTTCTGTTCTGCAGAGAAGTGGGAAAATGATCACATAAGTAGTAATGCAAAAACAGAAATTATAACTCTGAGAATATACTATGTCCAAAATAAAATGTCCGATCACTGTAAATCAGCAATATGCCCCATTCCCAAATTTCTTGTTGAAATGACCGATACGGTAGCCTAGCGATGGAACGTTCACTTTGTGATCGGAAGGCCTGGGTTCGATTCTCGTTCGCCACGCAGCATCAAACCTAAGATGTTAACATGGGAAGAGTCTGTCCCATTGGCAACTGAATAGCATTATAAGTGCAAGTCAGGGTCTTTCGGATGAGACCATAAAACCAAGCAATTTCCCTTAAACAATTTATAAATAACTGAAATAATGTGTTTTATATATTAAACACGTTTTATGACAATTTTATAAGTCTCTGTACTTACAGATGTTTGTAGAAAATGTTTATAATATGTGTCCCATGACTCTCTTATAGACGACTCTATATGAGTGAAGAAACGGGACGTAAAACAGCACACAATCAATCATTAATCACTCTCATAAACTTAATATTAAACGGCGTATTTTGCATATTTAATTTTTTAGGTAAAATTTTTAACAAAACGGGGGAATTCTTTTAATTCATAAGTTGCTTTTTTGGATAATAATAGTTGTAAAAGAAACAGACTTACTGATATTTTCTTGATCAATTGCTATGTATACAAGGGTTGCAAAAAAGTCGTTTACACATGTTGTATTTTTGTTAATAACGACTCTTTTATGTGTGGATAATAATCATGTTTTCATAAATAGATAAAATTCACAACAATACACCAATATGAATTAGAGCAATACACTTGGTTAAATCATCTGAGCAAAACAATCTTGTATACGCAAGACATTCGGTCAGGTCTGACGTTTACATTCATAATTAAATCACGAAGACAAGATTTTATATTTAAATCAAATTACAAAGGCCTTTAACTTCTTGCTGTCTCTTAAAGTTGAACACATAATCTTCAAAACAATTGTATTGCTGTAGATTGCAAATATTCCGCTCATTCCTTGTTTATTCAGGTACTAGTACCCTTGTCATTTCTAACAGTGTTTCCATCAAATCAACAAATAATTCCAAGCTGTATTCCAATCCGTCTGCTTGAGAGAAATCATCTAAGACATATTTCTTTCCTTTTTTCTTTTTGATATGTTCTATATCTGTCCAAAAACCCATACTAATGACATCAGAAATCGAAGTCGGTGGTTTCAGTTACATCACATCTGAATTTTATTATTAAGTTGTGATTTGGAAATATAATCTTTATATTAAAAAATTACCCTGAGTTATGCGCACTATCTGTGACTTTCAGACTTTTTTTTCGAAAATTTAAAATCAAAGAATCAGAACAATTCTACTTTGAATCTTTATTGTGTGGACCCTGAGGTCCACGCAGAAAATATATAAACGAGGTTAAACCGGATGTCATGGGCTTACTTCAGGTTACGCATGCACGAGAATGCTAGACAGTTCACCCCTAAGACAACTTGCCCTTAGGACAATTCGCCTTCTTCGAATTATAACTCGCTAATCATTGGCAAACCTCGCTTAAAATCTGCACATCGTAGCATGCTCTACCTATGAACGATTTCTAAAACGAGGAAAGTTATTGACAAAGAAGTAAATGAAACAAGACTATCAACATTCTCATTCAAAGTCATCATTTCGTAAGTTCTATGGTCGATACAATGACCTTGTCAGCAAATACAATCTATCATTAAGTCATATGCTGATTGACGTTTTTCATACTAATTGTTAGGCCATTATCTACACACTGAATTGCCGACGGACTTTTACGTTATTTCCCGATCATAACAAGGAGCACATGGCGGGTGTGACCGGTTGGCAGGGGATGCTCACCCCTCCATGGCACCTGATCCCACCTCTGATGTTTTGGAGGTCCGTGTTTCTCTGCTCCCGATTTGTATTTTTTGATAGACATTGAGCTTGAATACTATTCGTTATCTCAATATTTCATTCATTAATTCATTAGCGTATCAAAGATCCGAATCTACTCTTTAATACATATATCCTTATATGTAAACAAACCATATTTTACTATAGTTATTCATATGGAAAATAAGTTCGGAGTTTCTGTGGTACTAGCATTTTAAAAGGGGGAAGAATTAAGATGGCTTTACAGCTTGAATTAAAAACTTAATTTAACGATTAGGCTCTAAAAGATAGGACATCTTCACTAATATCAATTTTGTGCATCCAGGCTCGTAGGGCGCAATTTCACTTGGGGCGTGGGGGTTAAGAACCTGACAAATTCTTACAAGAAAAAGGTCATCTTACTTTTTTGAGGGGGTTCGACTGTAAATGAGCTGAGATTTCTAATGTATAGTTTGTACATGCAAAAACAATAAAGAGGGGCAAAGCTAATAATTACCCTCGTTTTCTATAATTAAGTGTATACTGGCAAAATTATTGGGACCCCCCCCCCCCCTTCTGGCTCGGATCCTACAGGCCTGGCATCATATAATCATGTAATCTTCAACAGAGATGTCTTTTTTTCAAGGAGAACAACACTGCTGAAAACAGGACAATATTTTAAAATCTGACCTGGAGCAAAACAGTTGACATTTGGGGTATTTATGATAAATGAAAAGTCAAGGCTACATACAGTAAACAATAGATACCTTAATCAAGTGTTGATATCCAGGACGTGCTTCTATCATTCATTATTACAGTTTTAGTAATTAGACTTTAAAATTAAATTATAATGAAAAATTTTTGTTTCAAGTTAAAAGAAATCTTTTTATAACATATTTTCATTACAACCCAGAATTTCTTTTAGATCTTTCATTTGTTAGAATCACAGGGATACGGTCCACGCATTGCAGTCCTTTTTGAAGGACAACAACTTGTTTAATTATTTTGATATTTAAATCGTTATATATACAGGGAGGAAACAAAAAAGGCAATGTCTGCAAAATGCAATTTTTTTTATTAACAAATGAAAACTGAAAAATTCATAAATATTTTTGGACAGTTTGCATTTAGGGTTTTCTTTTTTATTTTATTTCTAAATGGCTTTTGAATAATGATTTAACATTCTTTTTTACACAGTGATGCATAGTGTTCGTTACTCCAGTTTTTGAAATATTTACTCCACAACTTTCTGAAAAATACAAAAGAAAAAATGGATATTAAAATTCATATCATCAAAATCACACAAAAGAAAAAAATGGATATTAAAATTCATATCATCAAAATCACACAAAAGGAAAACTTGATATAAAAATTCATATCATCAAAATCCTATCAAAACATTTAATGTCCTTTTTGAAAAAAAAAATAGAAAGAAAAGAATTTTGAAATAAACCTGAAAAGTCAGTGCTTTTCTGCCTCCGCCTCCAACCCCGCCCCCTGTCCCACTTCCTCCTCTTGGTCCCGCTCCCCAAAGTTCTCGTCTGCTTCCTCCTCTCCGTCCTCCCCAAAAGCCATCGAATCCTAAACCTAGACTTAGAGGTAATTTAAGTTGGTTAAACGGAGATTCTGGTATTTTCGGACCCTGTGGTGGTTTGAACGTAGGTTTTGGTGATTTTCGAGTTTGAGCTTCCACCAATATTAACAATCCAAGCAGAAGCGAAGTCAAATGAACGGTGACCTAGAATTTAAAAAACACAAGCATTGGAAAAGAGTGCTCTTATTAAATTAAAAATAAACTTAAAGAATTAAAAAGGACTTTAGAAAAAGCCCACACAAATTAACCTGAATTACATTAACCAATACAGCTCGCTAACTAGAATATTACAAAATAATCTTTCTAAATTTCTTCTTCTTTTTTTTTTAAATATTTTCGTTTTAGATCATTCAAATGACCTGTATGTCTCTTTGTACCCGTCCGTCAAAGTCAAATATGGGTTGATGGTAATTTTTTGAACATTTTCGCTTTTTGTCATAAATGCATACATTCTCTATAAACATTTTGAAATTCATATCCCCCCGATCCCTTCTTCAGACCATATTGAGGGATAAAGTTGGCCTTAGTACAATTACATAAACATATAAGAATCTTCCTTCCATGTTGAGATCTAGTAGGCTAGGTGCTTGCATTGTAATAATAAACAGCTATATCTCTGCTAAAATGATATTTTTAAAAAAAATGTAAAATTCGGGTCACTTGAGTTAAGAATTCCTGTTCAAAGAGTGACTGCGTTGGTCAAAGCAAAAGAAAAGCATGAAAGACAAGTGATCATCAACGCAAAAAGGCTTTTTTTCAATAACGTCTGTAGTTCATATGTAAATTTGGCTTGTGGTTTTCTGCAGATATACATGTGTCTGCCTGTTTGACAAGTTCAATTCAAGGACGCAACAAAGGTACATTTGTAATATGATTATGAATTAAGAATTATGATTAAAAAACGTATCAAAAATTTAACATTTGAATGTTGAGAAATATATGAATAACTTATTGAATATGGATCATGCAATTTGTATCGAAAAGAAAGTGCACAGAAATTAATAAACTAAGAATTTAAAAATACTTCTTGGGATTAAGTTAAAACAAAATCGATTCTCATAATTTAGCGACTTATTTCTTGAGAATTCAGTATGAAAACTGAATGAAATTAACATACTTATGCTTTATAAAGTACATTCCTCTAATGCTCTTCAACAAAAAATGCTAAGAATAAGATATATAGACAAACGAATTAAATTATTAAGGATAATTCATAAAGAAGTCTTACCATTTCTCAACGTTACTGACTGAAATGGATTATATGTAGTATGGTATTGCTTTATATGCAGTGCTTCAATGGATTTTCCATTTCCACTTTTTCCAAATACAAAGCACTCCCTTATTTGTTTTGGTCACAATTATATGTGGTGCATGCATATGATAGAGGATTGTCATGTTTAGGTTGTTTAATATGCAAATCAATAATATAATGATGTTTCATGTTCTGCACTACGCGAAAGAAATTACATAAGCTGTGTGTGATATCAACATATGTAAGCTTTCATTGTTTCAATAACAAAAATGTTGATGCAATTTTTTTGAGAAAAATTATGGAATACATACTTGACTTTCTCACTAAAGATCATTACTAAATCTTTCAATCCTAATGTAAATTAGGTAAAGATAACGAACAGTGATCGATTTAAAGAAAAAAATCCATAAACAATACAAATACGGGACGACGGCATAAAACAAGGACCCCTGGGAAATCCATGGGTGGGATCAGGTCCCGAAGAGGAGAGGAGTACGCATCCCATCCCCGGTTGACCAGTCACATCCACCATGAGCCCTATGTATTGATCAGGTAGACAGAACTATCCGTAGTCAATTCAGTACAAAAACAAAGGCCTAACAATTGCTATGAAACAAGTCATCCAAAATACGACCTAATGATAGATTATATTTGCTAACAAGGTCATTATATCGACTATAAAATTTCGAAATGCTGACGAGGCTGTTCAAATTCCCTGTAACATCAACTTATCAGTGAGTAGCCTGCCTCGCTTTAAAAATTGATCTTACTCAGAGGAAGCTTTTGAGAAGCGAATAAGTTTGGAGACATAAACACCTTAAGCAGGTGGTAGTGGAATATTACTACATAAATAAGGAAAGTTGACGATGGAAAAGCCAAAGTCATTTGTCAAGTTGGATTGATTGATTGATTGTATGTTGTTTAACGTCCCTCTCGAGAATTTTTCACTCATATGGAGACGCCACCACTTGCCAGTGGAGAGCTGCAAATTTTGTCCTATACTAGGCACTTACGGCCATTGAGCAGTGAGGGATCTTTTTCGTGCCAGCACCTATTGCGACACGGGACCTCGGTTTATACGGTCTCATCCGAAGGATCGGTCTCCACGTCCCACAGTTGGATTCGAACCCGCGACGTAAGGATCAACTCCTTACTTCGCGACTCTAGAGCAGACGCTCTAACCACTGCGCCACGCGGGCGACTGTCAAGTTGAAATTCCTGTAGTAAAAACACTTAGTATCATGTAGCATTAACTCGGATAAAACTTTATTTCTCTGCTTACTTCTGAATTTTGTGACTTTATGCAAATGCTTTTGCAACAGAGTAAAATAACACACTTCTTACAAAGTTGTAAGGGAGACAGACGAATAGATGGACATGGTATATGATCCACAGCCTTTTTCTTGGGGGGGGGGGGGGGGGGAGAGACAACCGGATAGATTGACATGGTACATGTCCTACAGCTTTTTTTCTTGGAGGGGGGGGGAGACAACCAGGTAGATGCACAAGGTATATGTTCTACAGCTTTTTTATGGGGGGGAGAGAGAACCAGATAGATGTACATGGTACATGTCCTACACATTTTTTTTTTTTTTGGGGGGGGGGGCAATCAGATAGATGGACATGGTACATGTCCTACAGATTTTGTTTTCTTTTTTTTTGGGGGGGGGGGGGGGGGAGATAGATGAACATGATACATGTTCTACAGATTTTGGGGAAGGCAACCTGATATATGGACATGGTTCATGTCCACAGTCCGGATAGATGCACAGGATATATGTCCTACAGCTTTTGTAGGGAGAAAACTGGATAGATGGACAGAGTATATGCCCTAACGCAGCAATGTTAAGGCTTCCCGAAGCTTTAAATGCGTTCAAAACATAACACTGCATTGCAAGATTGATTTTTAGTTATATTTGCAAGCTATATACTTAAATACGGCCAATTTATACAGTGACCTCTCTAGGCTATATATAAACGTATTTGTTACGATATCACAGTCGCCCGCGTGGCCAAGTGGTTAGAGCGTCTGCTCTAGAGTCGCGAAGTCAGGAGTTGATCCTTACGTCGCGGGTTAGAATCCCACTGAGGGACGTGGAGACCGGTCCTTCGGATGAGACCCTCATTAATCACCTGCGCCAGACTCTTTTATACACATATTATAAATTCTACTACTATCCAAGGGTATAGAAAAGGGTAAATGTCAAACGTATATTTTCATATATATTTAGAACACGCTGACTTTTAAACAAGAGTAATAAAACAAGTTATCTAAAATATTCGGATATATAAGATTTTTGAAAAAAGATTAAAACACGTTTATTTTACACTATCTTTCTGACATATTATAAGTTGATTGAAATAAGGTGTAAAGTTTATGACACTCACCCCATCATAACAGCTCAAGTTTGCAGTGACTGGACGTACGTCTTTCAATTATGACGTCATACATTTGTAGTTTAGAGAAGTGAAGGCACAGAGTACACTGCGATATTCTCTGGGAAGCCTTAACGTACTTGTGTAAATCTTTGCTGTGAAGAAAACAGTCGAATAGAATCAGGACATACATTGTACATGTCCTCTAGATTTCTTGAGAGGAAAAGAGACAGATGGAGTCAGCACTTAGTATAAATGTCCCCATAAACTTTGTGAGAGAAAGACGGACAGAAAGATGGAAACGATATATGTCATCCAGCTTTGTGATGAGTGAGGGATACGAGAATTTTCTTTGCTTTTTTTATGTACATATAAATAAAACGAAATCATTCCAGACACGTTGATTACATGTATTGTGTAATACTTAAGAGCAGAAATACTATCATATTCAATTATCACTTGCATATGGTGCCTTTATCTCCTAGCTATTCTGTCCCCACGACTAAGTTCCGTGATCAATTTTAAAGGGAGACATACTACTGACATATACATGTAAAGTGATGTAACATAATTGGTTTTAACAGTCACGTTTAAATTGAGTACTTGCTAGACGATTTTTTTTCTTATTAAAAGTTTTGTTTTTACCATATCTTGTTTCGATTATTCATCTCTGTTTATAATTGTAGCTGGTGGACTGTCCCCCTGTAGAAGTCGTGTCTGTTGACTTTTTGAAACCCTTTGGATTCGCTCCTAATGCCTCTGCCATTTTTGATGCCTCTTTACGAATATCAGAGTAATGGTCCTTAAGTTCCGCAGGTAGGTTAAGGCTTCCCGTAGAGTATCACAGTGCACTCTGTGCCTTCAATTCTCTGAACTACCAAAATACGACGTCACAATGGAAAATGACTTCAAGTCACTGCCAACTTGAGGTGTTATGACAGGGAGAGTGTCATGAACTTTACACTTTATTTCGAACTGCATGTAAAATGCTAGATAGCTATTGAAAAATTCACGGGCCGTTCAAGGTTTTTTAAGACTTATATGTCCGAATATTTTAAAAATACACCGCTTACCCACCCTTGATTGAAATTCAGCATGTTCAAAATGCTTATGAAAAATATGCTTTTGAAACGTACTCTGTTTTATACCCGTGGTTGGAGGTAGAATATATTTTGTGTGTATAAAAGAGTCTGGCGCAGGTGATTAATGAGGACTAATCTGAGAATTTTTGTGGAAATCTGTAAGAAGAGGTTGTTCTCTAACTGAATTTTGCTTGGGAAAAATGTGTGTCGGCTTTGTTATACCCCCCGCTTGAAAAGTGGGAGGGTGTATAGTGATCGGGGTGTCCGTCCGTCCGTCCGTCTGTTACGCTTTGGGGTACCCATTTCTTATCCGCAACTCCTCCTATACCACTGAATGAAATTTAATGAAACTTTCACAGAATCTTTGTTACATAGTGTCATTGTGCACCCCCTATTTTACTTTTTGATCGGACACATATTTCGGGTTTCCCATAGCAAAACATGGACACTGCCATTCTTTCTTTAATATTGAAGGGTACCCATCTCTTATCCGCACCTCCTATTTTACTTTTGATCTGACACTTATTTCGGGATTCCGAGAGCAAAACATGGACTTTGCCATTATAATTATATTGGAGGCGGGGGGTATCATTTAGTGAGCTCATTGCTCACAGTACTCTAGTTTTAATACAGATTACGATACTGTGTGGAAAATACCCTCAAATTTGTGGGTAAGTTGAATTTCTCACGAAACATTTTGTACCCAAGTAATACTATGACTTTTCCCAAGCACATTCGGGTACACAAGGTTACGATGAGTTTATTTATATAACGATATGTTAATAATTATTGTGTTAATCAGCTGCGTTGAAGCGCTTTATATAAAACACTTCAAAAAATTATAAATGACCGTCACGTGATCAAGAACGTCATGTGATATCATAACAATTATGTTAATATATAGCCGAGGAAACCCTCTTTATAAATTGGAAATACGAAAGTTCAATACTTATAAATTAAAACCAAAACCGACCTCGCAATAACATATTATGTTTTGAGCGAATTTTAAAGCTTCGGGAAGCCTTAACATAGCTGAGTCGGTTTTAAACTCTTTACCAAACAAAATTTCGGTTTTAAACTCTTTACCAAACAAAAGTGGCGTCTCCATATGAGTGAAAAATTCTCGAGAGGGACGTTAAACAATAAAGAAACAAACAAAACAAAACAAAAGTTCCTCATTGTTCGCTAAAATGTCTTGCTTTTCTTTTAGCATGGATTTCGCCTTGACACTGTCATTTGTAATTTGAATAAGTGCCGATAATCTTCTCTGGAAATTATCTTTAACATTTGTTTGACCAATGTAACATTTTTTTTTTTCAACCAGGTCAATAATTTGATGGAAGTCGATGTTATCCACACGTTGAACATGCGCAGTGTCTACATCCTGAGGCGTCTCAAAAGTTGCTTTTATATCCTCAATGATTCTCCTCAAATTTGCTGAAGGTCCCATGGTCATAAAAAGACGACTTTGAAGCGTAGCAAATGCCTTGTCGATCTGTTTGTTCAATGATCGCTTCTGTTGGTCTAAAATGGACGTAACCACTTCATCTA